GGGGTAAACCGCATCGACACTACTGGAGAAAATTAGAATTATTGGTACTTAGCGGGAACCTCTGCCAAAATCGATCTTCCTACAAAGTACCCTTAATATTTGACCTACGAGGTTCAATGAAACGGCATTCGAAGCAGAATATAGTGTTTCTGTAGAGATATGAAGCTAGAAAGATACCGTTTCATAAATTTCGAAAATATTTCAAAAAAACGAAAAAAATTGTCAAAATTTTCAGGTGGATGGCATTACAAATTTTAACCTAGGCAGCCAATTCTCTGGGGCGATGTGACGAATACGAAATGAGGATAGCATGCCAAGTTTGGAGAGAATTAACCCACTAGTAATGTTGAAATGTGGTTTTCGAGTATTTGGGGCACATTGAGAAAAAACGCTGTTACACGTATACACTAATTTTTGATTCTACTGGACACGTGTAAGAGCGTTTTTGGTTTCGCGACAACTCTGCACACACCATGTACCGGTTTATGTGAACCTAGTTAAAGACATCGAAAGAGACCCAAAGACATCGAAAAAACCCGAGTTTGTCTAGGGAAGTTAAAGTCCATTAGTTTTTTGGAGGCTTGTATGTTTCCTGTTAGACTTTTTTTCGGTGGGGGCGCAGTCGACTAACTTCTTTTATCATATTTATGATATTAAAAATTTTAACAAATGACTTACAATATTATATTATAATATTATATCTGCGACGCGTGCGCCCGTCGGCGCCTCAGCGCCTACCCTCTCCTACCCTCGCCTATCCTCTCCCTGCCCTACCCTCTCCCTGGCCTTGTAAGAACGCGATTGTATAAATTATTGTGTGTGTTTGTGAATTACTTTTAAGATAAGAAATTAAGCTATTAAGAAATTAACACCCACTCAAAAATGCCCAAAAAACGCTTTCACTCCAGTTTTCACTCACTCAAATCCACGCCAAAAATCCAATTTTACTCGGATTTTGAAATTTCTTTCACCAATATACTCCCAGATAGTTTCTTTCTTCAATCCAATATCAAACTCAATTTTTTCGAAATTTTTAGTATTTTTAAAATTTAAATTTCTGAATGAGCATTGTTGTAGCAATCAACAAGGCAAATTATGCCTGCGAAATAATAATCAGCAAAATTGAGTTTGATATTGGATTGAAGAAAGCAACTATCTGGGAGTGTAATGGTGAAAGAAATTTCAAAATCCGAGTAAAATTGGATTTTTGGCGTGGATTTGAGTGAGTGAAAACTGGAGTGAAAGCGTTTTTTGGGCATTTTTGAGTGGGTGTGCCGGGCGTAAATGTGGCCATGGAGTCAAACCACTTCAGGGTTTTAGTACACTCATGGGACCCTACCACATATGCAAAGGGCATCGAGATCTGTTATTATCAACCTCGCAAGCTCCCCTCCTAAGTGTGATTAACATATTCGAAAATATTTATGAACTATGAGGGGAAACTTTAAAATGTAACTAACATTAAACACAAACTTGGCAAATCCAAACCCATTTTTTGCATACAATCTAGCCCATTTAAATACGTGTTAATCTGGACGCACTACAATTTATATTGAGGGTATTCATTATCTCTTCGTATCGTAAAATACTTACTAGATTTCATAAGCGTCGTAAGATTTTCTCATCGAAAATCGCATTACTACGCTTACGATTTTTACGAAACCCGTCCCCTTGTTTTTTCTTTGTAAATTTTTATTTTACGATACTACGGATACGAAGAAATCACGAATACCCTCATTATAGTTTAAATCCCATCCGTCAACACTTACATATTCCCTCTTCCGGAAAATTGTCACACACTGCCCAACCCTGGAAAATCTTACCTACCTACGAACCTGGTTAGTAGTACACTTAGACCCCGGGTAGTACAGTTCGACCGGCCGATAGCCGGTCGAAATTATCTTCGAGCAAATATATAATGATGAGCAGAAAATACACAAGACCAGTTGGAAGTACACTATAACTAGTACAAAATTGATAGAAAAGCACACCAATCGTTAAAAGTAGTACACATGGTGTACTTCACATCGATCACTAGATAAATAAATAGAACATTCACCTGTCCTCGATAATGTAGTACACCTCGGCCGATACAAAATGAGTAGAAAATGCACATTACTAGATGAACTAGTACACTTCGACCAACAAGAATATGGAGAAAATTAATTTACGACCGAATGGAAGTAAACTTCGACCAACACAAGATCTGGAAAAAGTACACGATCGATTGGTAAAGATCATCCACTATCGAGTTGGACTGCCCCGTAAAGGCACGCTAGGCGGGAACACAGCGAAATTAAATTTCGAAAAAAATTATTTTTGAATAGACCAAGTTATAAGCTTTCCATTGATATATGTCACCAATTATTGAGTCATGGCTAAGACTAGAAAAACTTGGGTTGAAAGGCAAGAGTTGAAAAAAGAGTGATTGAGTTTCATAAAAATCGAAGAAACTATGATTCTAAAATCACTTGGCACTTTTTCAAGCAAGAAGGTATTCATCATTCAAATGTCAACTCTTACATAAAAAAGTACGAGGAATCCAATGAACTCAAATTCAAAGTCGCCACTAGTCGATCTGTAAAGCTAGCGACGACAAAAGTCAAAAGTCACATAAAAAAAATCTTCAAAAATCATCCATCAACGACAATGGCTGCAGCGGAAAGTAAGGTCAAGATTTGAAAAAGCTATCCGAGCAAAATCAAAGTCCATAAACTAGGGATTGTAGCCAGGGGAAAGAAACCAGCACCAAATTACAAACCAACACAACAGGAAAGGATTGATGCGTTCTGCCAGAAATTGTTGAAGAAGACTTGTGGAAAAGTGGTCATCATGGACAATGAGCCCCACGTCACAGCTGACCCTTCAAATCTTCCAGGAAGGCATTTTTTCCATAGTTCCAACCCCTGTGATTAAAATAAATATGAAGACAAAGTTCGGAAGAAAGACCAATTACCAAAAAAATGAAGAATTTGGCAACACATGGCTAGAATTGGTCATGTTTTCGATCTCATCATTTTGGAGGGCACTGTAAACCAGGAGGTTTATCTTAAATTCTGCATTAAAGGGGGATTGGAATCGTTTATTACCAAGGAACATAAAAAAAAAGTTTTGTTTTGGGCTGACCTCGAAAGGTCTCATGACGCCAAAAAGGTCACTCAGAACCAAAATCTAAAAAAAAATCGAATTTGTGCCGAAAAATTAAAACCCACCAAATTTTCCTCAACGGAGACCAATTGGGAAATTCTGGGCGCTAACTAACTCCAAATATTCTAAGCTTTCAGAATCGCTAGATACCTTACGAAAATTTAAGAACAGATGGAAGAAAATGAGCTTGAAAGTAGGTGCAGTCGATGGTCGGAATTTGACGCGAAGTCGGAAGAAGAAAATGCAATCTGCAGCAGACAGCGGAATTGAATCATTAAAATTTGAACTGTATGGCAATCAAAACCCTTTGGTAGTAAACATATGCAACTTTTTTGAAATTGCATTAACTGTGTAATAAGTTCTGACCATTTTATTTCGTCAGTCCAACTCAATAGTGGATGATCTTTAGTACACTTCTGCCAACACAAAATCTCGAGGAAGAATGGTCGAAAACGATAAGACGTCAAGGTGTGAAGGCAGAAATTCGACCGGAAGAACAAAGCCTGGTAGAGCTTAATGGAAGTGTTCTCACTTGTTTTGTATTGTATGGGGTTATGATTTTGCTGGCACTGGTTTTTGTACAAATAGAATTACGTAGGCAAATTTTGTCAAACTCAGCAAAATTACAGTGGTTGCAGCTAAGAAAAAGATTAAAAGAATGCCAGTGGCGTAGTTATTAAGTAGCTTCAGCTACTTTATGTGAAGACTTTGTCTGTCTGTCTGTCTGTCTGTCTGTCCGTCTGTCTGTCAGCAGGATAACGGGAGAACGGATAAAGATAATCGAAATCGGTTTTCGCCATCATACATAATACCCCAGGGGGAGGATCCTATCAACTTTTGGGTGCAACCGGACCACACCCCCGGTCGCCAGGGGGTGTGGTCGGGGCAAAATGAGATTTTTAGTGCAATTGAATCTATGGATGAAATGGAGTGAAATTTTGATTTCCCCGGTTGTGCCACACCCCCCGGGCGCCAGGGGGTGTGGTCGGGGCAAAATGAGATTTTTGAAAAAATTGAATGCATAGATGAAATACAGTAGAATAAAGTGCTCCCGAGTTGTGCCACACCCCCTCGTCACTAGGGGGTGTGGTCGGGGCAAAATGAGATTTTTGAAAAAATTGAATGCATAGATGAAATACAGTAGAATAAAGTGCTCCCGAGTTGTGCCACACCCCCTCGTCACTAGGGGGTGTGGTCGGGGCAAAATGAGATTTTTGAAAAAATTGAATGTATAGATGAAATACAGTAAAATCAAGTGTTCCCGCGATGTCGTGGGAGTGCTTGGAGTGAAGTAGTCTGAAGCTACTTCCGTATGCGCGTTTGCGACGGTTTATTATAATGTTAACGGGTTGAGAAATAATCAGAAGGATTTCAGATAAAAATTTGCACAATAAACTTGAATATATTTATCTTAATAAACTAAAAAGTTACAAAAAAACAAGTATTAAGGCTATTATACTCATTGCTTTGACATCATGCTCAATTTATGGAATGTCATGTTTTTGAATTATCTATTTTCTGTTCAATCTGTATTTGTGAAAGTTTACGTTTGTGCAAATTATTTGAAATTTTGACCAAATATTTGAAAAATATGTAGCTAACAATCTCAAAAGTTCAGTTGCTTCGAATGAAAGATAAGATTTGGGGTTCGAAAGCCGAATATTTTTCACACTCACTAATAATTTGCAGGGTTTTCGTTCGCTAATTGTGAAATATTTCGCTGGGATCTCAATTTGCGTTGTATATTAAAGATTTTAGTTAAGCAAGCTTATCGGTCGAATGAAATGAATTTAAACAAAATCTAGTTTCGGTTAAAGTTGACTTGTCCGAAGTACAAAATTAGACTAAAAAAGTTGAATTAAAGACAAAAATTATGTATTTGAATTTATTAAACAATGAATAAAATAACTTTAGGAGTCATAATTTAACAGAATAAAATTAAATAATTCAATAACCAAAATCCACATCACGATTATCTAAATTTTGTATTACGCGTTTTAACATTTGTTGTTAAAATGATTGGTTCATCTCTCTCGTCCCGAAACATATGACTGATTGATAGATTCACAAACTCTTGATTAATATTGACAATAGTGAATAATTTGATGGTTAATTGTCCTCATTTGTGTTGCTACCATACTTGTGTAATATTTCTGTCACCCCTTTCTGCGCAACCGCCATCGTGGCGGCGTTCAAGTTGGCATTGGTAACCTTTGGCATCACACTGGCGTCCACAACTCGTAACTTTTCAATGCCAAACACCCTGAAAATGAAATAATTTCATTATTTTCTAGAAAATACGTAATCCCATTATGTATTTATCATTAATAAGCTTAATTAGTAAACTAACAATGGAGGTCTCCCAACGTATGCTCACAGATTTGGACCAAGCCGGTGTCAATCGATCACAAATATAATTAGTACGAAATTTGCAAATGGAATTATCTGCCAATACGCAGGTTTGGCGGAGATATTTGCACCCAAAGCGAGAAAAATGCGCTGCAAATTTGGCAAATTAAAAATTTGTTAGCCGTGGGGATGTGTTTTCTCCTATTTTTATGCAAATATCTCCGCTAATCTTGAGAATTGGGAGATAGTTCCATTGGCAAATTTCATCCTAATTATATTTATGATCGATTAATGCTTGTTTGGTCCAAATCTTTCAGCATACGTTGGGAGACCTCCGTTGTAATTAGAACACAGGGGTAGTGTGAGAATTACTCTTTCCCAGAAACTTACTGCATTTTCGAATTAACCACAGCCATAGGATCGCTGGCCTTGCCCATCTTACAAGTTCCCGACCAATGCCACTGCGTCGTCCCCAACCTTTTCAGAACACACTTCCACATCTCTGCTGATCTGCTCGGAAACTTTTTGCATGCCGAGGGAACAAATGATTCATCCAATTTGTACCCATTCGCCTTGAAGGCTTTCGTCCCTTCCATAATTTTGATGGCGAGATTGATCCCCTCGACCATTACGTCGAGGTCGGTCGAATCATTAAAATACTTGAAGTTGCTGAGGCCCAATTTCCCATTTGCGGTTTCTCCCTGAACGTAGGCTGAAGCGTTGAAGAGGAATTCGCCCGAGCTTTTTGGGCGGGATAAACTAATTTCCCAGACAGCGCCGCCCGGATTTTCTTCAATGAAGGGTTGGTCGATCATTTGGACTTGAATATCCCCCCATTCTGGTTCACCGTCCGTTTTAGCGCGAGAGGAAGAGGCGAATGCTTGGGTGCGACGTTGATGGGCGAAGTAACCGGTGCGATCGGTTTGGAATTTTTTAAGTTCTTCGAGGAAATTGGGGTCACGGTAGGAAGGATCGTTTCGGCGAAAGGTTAGAATGAGCATGACGTGATCCCATAAATTTTTTCCGACGCCGGGTACGTTTTTCTTGAGGGGAATCTGGGGAAGGAGGATTAAGATATTGGTGAAAAATGCTAAAGATTTTTTGTTACGAGGGTCACAAAATTTCTTCTATTTTTATGTTCAAATTACAATACTGTTCAGTTTGTCCGGGCTCCTTAAAATGAAGATAGAGTTTTGGAAGGGAACTCTGCAAGGTGTGCAGCTGCTCCTCCCCTGCCTGATGAATCGGCGATTATATTAGCCGAATCTGCCGAATATTTTTACTATTTAACACTTATTTTTACTTTGAAGTTAAAATTATTCAATTTCCTACGACTTATACGTCAAAATAAAAATAAGTGATTTTAAATAATAAAATAATTCGGCTGGTTCGGCTAATATAATCGCGGATTCCTCAAGTAGGGAAGGAGCAGCTGTATACCTTATACTGTTCCCTTGTAAAACTCTATCCTCGTTTAAAGGAGTCCGGACAAATGAACCAGTAGCTAGACACAATTTTTCGATTTTAACTTCGACGATTAATAGTTGTTTGCTCAGTTGTTTCAAGAATTTTTCTTGTATTTTTTAAAAAATGTGGCTTACCTTTGCCGCCTTGAGAACATCTTGTTGCCCAATCCCAGATTTTGTTAGAAGGATTGGGGATCCAAATGATCCCGCCGAGACGATAACTTCCTTCTTAGCATGAGCAATTTGCGGGATTCCGTGACGTGTATAAGCAACCCCATAAGCGTTGTTGTTCTCGTCGATCAGTATCTGCGGATTCATTAATATTGACAATTTGTTGGAAGTTTAGTATTTTAAAATTTTAGTGGAAACATTGACCAATGATTTTATATTTACCCTGTCTGCTTGTGAATATCGGTGGATTGTTGGTTTCCGACTTGTCTTCTTTTTGACAAAGGCGTCATAAGTGCTTTCTCTAATTCCATTCCGAATGGAAACGCATTGAGGAGTAAATGCTAAGAGCAGAATTTATTTTTAAAAAAGCTCCAAGCAACATACCCACCCTAATCACTTACAAGGTGCTTGACGAGCATTTGGATCGCTAAAGTTGAATCTTAGTTCATTAGCAGCCATCCGCCACTTGCTTAAAAAGTCGGGGACGTCCGTGTCCACCCGCAAGGGTCCATTTACTCCGTAGTAGTCTAAATATCAGAAATCAATTTTAACTCTTGAAAACTTCAACTGTGTATCACTGCATATTGTACCGGAACGTTGCCTCTCGTTGACAAGTTGCCCAACAAAATTTTCAGTATCCTTAAAATGCTCTAACATATGGTTATAGTCCCAGGTAACGTCGCCCAAGAGTTTGGCCCAGTAATCAAAGTCCAGGGGAGAGCCGCGGTTGTACACGTTGGAATTGTGGGAACCAGAACCTCCCAACATCCGACCGGCGTGGACGGTTGCAATCTACATATATACAGTTTCAAAAATGGTTACGGGAAAATTTAGATGGAAACTTCAACTGGAAACGTTGTGTCAGTGCCATATTTCTAAACTCCGTCTGGACAGGGTAAGGAAAACCCCGGGGTTTAGCTATTGAAAACCAATACCCAGGGGTTTTACGTGGGGTTTGTGGGTAGTCGGGGTAGTCGGAGTTAGTGTCTAACGTATTAAATTGTGAAAAAATCTGTTTTTCAGTAATTTCGTAACAAAAGTGCTCATGAATTACATTTTAATAAGTAATTAATTTGTAGAATGCCCTGTTACCAAATTTTGTAAGATTTGAAAACCCCGAGTACCCGTGGGTATTGCTCAAATTTGCCACCCTAAAACCCACTAAAACCCGCAATACTTCAATATTCCGGGGTAGCAGACCCTTCGTCTGGGTATCCTTGGTAACCTGTTTCTATTAAAGGATTTATATACTTACCCCATTGTCATCTAATGCCGAAGTGGACTGAGGAATAGACTTGTATATTTCGTTAATTGAGGGATGCGTCCTTATATCGTAGGACTTGATGGAACCAATATACGCCGGGTAAATAACGGGAGGTGGGTCGCCACCAAGTTCGAGTAAGAGAACGTTAAAATTGTCCGCTAATCTACCCGCCACTAAACTACCCGCCGTTCCGCCGCCAACTTTAAAAAAACAAGGTCAAAATTTATGAATAATTCAAATTTTAAAACGACAAAATATGTATTTTACTTACCCACAATAAAATCATACTCGTCAACATGCGGGAGTCCAAGTTGAGGTTCGACGTCACATAGGGTAGAAGCTAAATCGCGTTGCTTGTAGTAATCAGCATAATGCTGAATTAGCACGGGCAACCCGGCAAATACGAAAGTGGTTAAGTTCATTAATTAATTAGCTAGTTGTAATTGTATAAAGTTATTTAGTAGCTTCAGGATCGGGTTTGGGAGAACTGGGCATGTCACCCTTCGTTTTTATTGCCATCGTTTTGTGTTGCATAAATGCACGTTTATTTAAACAGTTGGAACTTGACATATAGAAACTCAAAAAAATATTCAGATGGTCTAAATCTATTTGAAGAACTGAATAGACGGGCACATTTTAAGGAAAACCACAAATTGAAATGGAACGGAAAATTACAAAATGATAATACGAAGGATTTGCCAAGAAACGCATACAAAAATTGCGGTTTAATTATATAACACCGACCAGAGATTGGTGGAGAGGTTTGGAATTACGCCGTAGAATTGCTCAAAGCTTGCCATTTATAGAGCCAAATGGTTGACCTGGTGAGAAGAAAACTTTTTCTAAGAAATAGATTTTAGTTTTTGCAGAAATTCGCTGTGCATATTTTTTTGTACATTATTTAGTAACAAACACGCCTTGATATTTGTAAAAAAAATGTATCTCTAATGTAGTGTAAGCAATAACTTTAGGGTGTCAATATTTACATATAACTTGGGAGTTATTAATTTATGTATCTATTTAAATAAAGTACTAAAAAACTAGATGTGACAAAAACACTGAAATTTCTTGCAATTTTTCACGTAACGAAAGCCACATTTTTTTGTAATTCTGCGAAAACCTCTCACCTACTATAAATTTCGTTCAGACTTCCGAGCCATGTCCTACGAGTGAGAAAAGTAAATAAAGTTCTTCTGGTACGATCATTTTTAGACGAACCTGCACGTGTGGTGCAAGACCTTGATAATTTTCCAAGGGCATGCACGTGCCAGTATATCGCGATTGTATAGATGATTAAATATAATGAATACAATTATTGACATGTCTGCGGTTTTATGTAGCGAATAATATTCAGATTTTATTTTTCAAAGTTAATCCAAAAATTCCGTATTCCTCGGACAACGGTATTAGAAACAGCTTATTCGTGTCACATAAAAAATAACGGACGCTTGCTGCTTCGTAACATTATTTTGTTCTTTAGCTTGATTCACCCTTTAAAATTACAAGGACATTTCTTACTATGATTGAATGACTTCTAATTAAATAAGTGTTTAATTATATACCAGTCGGTTTCAATTATATATAATTTTATATAAGGCAATCTTATCCAGTGGCGGAAATAGGGGTACGTAGGGTACGTCCCACGTATCGGCCCCCGCTAGGCGACGGCCCCCGGGCCTCAGATAAATTTTTCAATAATAATTCAAAATTTCCAAAACAACACATAATAAAATGAGAAACAGTTTAGTAGTTAACAAGGGACTTATTTAACTACTAAATCTGTTAAACTTTGGGCCCTCAAGCGGCTACGGTCCTTTACATCGCATTTCTAAATATACTTTGCTGAAACCACCCACTCCAAACAAAAATTTGTCAAATCAACACCGCCGGTGTCAATATATGACTTAACCGGCTTGGTTACAATTGTGATTCTGAGTGGTAATGAAATTTTTCCGTCCGGTGGTAACATTATAACTACCAGTACCAGAATCATCATAACTCGGAATCAACGTTTTAACCAGGGCGGTGAAGTCATATTTATGTATATTGACACTGGCGGTGTTGATTTGACAAATTTTTGTTTTGAGCGCATAAATAAATTTAACTATCAAGCTATTATTTACTAGCGTATAAGCCCGTCTCCCCCTGGGCGAGAGTGAATTTAATGTTAAAAATTTCACCAATTAATATTATTGCTTTCTCTACTATCACTTCCGTCACGGAAAATTATTTTACTTCCGTTGCAGACAAACATTTCCAGTTTATAATATAGATATTTCAAGGTAGGTATTCCTAACTAGACATCAAGTTTGACATCTAGGTACGATGTTACCGTTATCGGCCCTGATTTTGAATGAAATTCCACAGGAGTTATATTATTAGTAGTTCAGAAATATGGGAACATGAGAATTATTATCTTCGAAAATTCGCCAAATTCGTTTTTTTAATTCAGCAAAGTGGCAAGAAACAATTTCCACAAGTACCAGTTTTTATAAAAACTACTCTACCAAGTTTTTTTTAATTTACAAAATGTTTTGAAGACATCGAAATCTTCTTAATTTATACAGTTTTCTGGAATTATGGAAATGCGGTTAATTTGTACAAACTTTTACAAATGTACAAATGGCTATATTTTAAATCGATAAAATCTTTGTAATTGTTTCGAGATTCTGTAATTTTTGAAATTATTCTTTTGTTTGAAGATTTGTTTGATGAAGAAATTAACGCATAAAGATTTTCGTTGATCATTGGTTCTGGAATTTCGAGTTTTTGGAATAACTTTTTTTTAGTATGAGTTTTTTTATTTGCAAAAAATTGTGCAAATTATTTGAAATTTCAACACAATTTGAAAAATTAGCGAAATTCTTGGGCTAGGGATGAACATCGGAAAAATGATTTTAGCGCTGGAAATCGGTTTAACCGAAAATCGGATGTGTATTAAAAAACACTTCAATGTGAGTTCCTCTTTGGCATCCAACCGTGCACGACTATCTCTCTCTCGCTCTGCAACTGGATCCTCTTCCATCTGGCTCGCGGGTGTGCCAGGGCAAGTAAAGTTTTTCCCAAGGCCTTATCGCCATGTGAGCCTCGTCCACTCACACCCCTACCTGCATGCCTGGTGACACCCCCTGCCACACCCGCCCCAGCAACGACAAGCTGAGCCATCAGGCGAAGATGGATTTGCCGGACCCAGTGCACGGGAGGATCTACGCCATGGAGGACTCCCCCAGGTAGGTCATTGTTTGGTATATCGGGGTAGTGACCGTGGTGGTTGGTGAAGAGTGAGGACAGGGTCGTGCATGGCGGTGGGCAGCGTAGTCGTGCCTACGGGGGTCCCATGATCCGGTTGTGTTGTGAGGGGTGGGTGAAGGGGCAAGTGGGTAGTGTCGTTCGGCCCTGGTCACACTGTGTGACTGTGAAGGGGACACGTAGCCCGAACCTGAAAGGGTGCTAGGGAATTTCGTGGTCCGTAGACACCCCGCCCAACAACCTACGCTCGTCTTGCTTCCGCCTTCCCGACGCCGTCCCCGATACACAATCAAATTCGGTCCGAATGCGTTCCACGGGTGGCTAACGAATTCGGCCCACATGTCGGATCTTGCCGCAAAAAAGCCTTCGCTCCAAATGTGTGATCGGAATTCGGTCCGAATGCGATTTTCAGCATTCTATGCGCTTTCGGAATACAGCTTTCTATCCGCGTGCTATATTTTCCATTCGCTCCGAAGAATATTTCTCGCATTTAAAATAATAATTGAAATACACAAATCGAAAGTTCACAAATCATTTTATTTTATTGAGTGTAGCAATGGAATACATATAAACTTACATTTATAAGGCATCCTAATATATTTACAAATTATATCATTTTGTTTAATATGTAAATATTCTTCTTCGGATAAGTTAGAAGCTTCATAAACTCCTAACTTCGAGCTATCAATTGGATAATCTTTCACGGGTTTGATTTCTCCAAACAGTTGACAACTAAATTTAGTCTTACTATGATCCTTAATGAAACGGCGAATTACAACAATTTTCCCTGAACGCAGCATGTAACAGTTATTACCGTTCTTACAAATATTTCTAGGAGAAAACACATTATGACAATATTTACTAAAACCTGCATTAGTATCGATTTGCAGAGCTTCTGCTTCCATTAGTAGTTTCGACACTTGTTCTAAGTGATAATTATGCGAATGAATTAGACTTTTAATTTTTTGCATGAAATTTTCAAACGGAAATGTGCTAGCATTATCCAGTGCGCCAAAAAGGTTTGCATCTTCATTAATGTGTAGAAGCCCATGCAAATTATACACAGCAAATTCCTGTCCATAAAGTGAGATGCATCTCTCCACAAACTTTTTTAACAACTTTTTAGCCACTAAATTCCATTCAATATTATCGGCTTTTGGGGATAACAAAATTAATACGGCAACATGGAAGCGTAAAAAGTTTTTATATTGAACTTTCGGAATTATTCCTTTAAAGACTGCTACTCCTGTGTACAGTAAAAGCGTTCTAAATTCTGTCCCTTTATAGTGATCAATGTGATTGATTCCTCTTGGCTTTCTTTGAAACTCTGAAGGAAAATAAATTAACAAATTATTCAATCTGCCACTAATTAATAATATATTCCTGCTTTGTAAACGATGGGGTAATTTGCCTTTCACCCACATGCGAGTCAATTTTCTTGTAATCCCTAAGCATACAAGATGCAAATAGTCTAAAGGAACTTGTGATATAAGACCAATTTTCAATTCAGATAAAACAGTATTTCCTGTGTGATGAGATTTATCCATCTGCAACCTGAAACTATCATCCGTTCTGCTTGGGAAATTACCTTTACAATATCTGACACTATGTATCCACTCACCATCTTCTAGACATTTTTCACATGCGTGATAACTGTTATGATTTTTACAAGCTTTTATGAAACTCCTAGCAATGGCATCAGCTAAAATACGTGAAACCCTGAAAGAATAATGCATATCCAGAGAGGTGCAATCCCTTTCTAAAGTTTTACACTCATTCACAAAATCGGTTAAAAAATCTAAATTATTTGGTTTCGACTCTCCATAAAATAAAGCTATAACAAGAGGTGTCGAATTAAAGGATTGATCAACACTACCTAGTATGGGCCAAAATTGTTTATTGGTGCTTCTAGTTAGAGGAATTCCATCAATCCCTACAGAAAGGCTAATTAATGGACTATTAACCTCCGATTGCAATGTGCGTAATATCTTGCTGAAACTATTAAAATTTTCCTTAATCCAGTACTTCATCCTGATGAGCATATTCTTTCTAATTCCAAAATAAAAATATTTACCTCCGCTAATATTACGAGTGCGAATTTTAGCTGGTGTTCGCATGAGAGTTCTCGAGTCTAAGGGTAAAGTAGGAAAAGTTTTTTGCCTCTTAAATAATTTCAAGAGCTCACCAAGAGCGAAATGTTTAATGTTGTGAGCTAAGGCCCACTTCCTCAATTCTAAATC